ATCTAGATTTTTCTATTGTTATCTTCTGCTTTTCAGGTTAATTTTTCTGTGATTTTCTCTTATTCTGAATTTTAAAAGGGAGATTTGTCAAAGACCAAGAAGAGATAAATTTCATGAGACAACCGAAAGTCAAGACAATATTGCTTAAAATAAGTTGTCATTTCTTTCAAAGTATTTGTGTTTTCTTTTAGGAGGGCCAGGACTGTATCTAGAATAACTATTAGTGACAACAATCCCTATCTTACAATGGAGAAATTGCAAAAATTACACTCACAAAAACACACACCTCATAATATTCAAAGGAATAGTTTAACTGATAAGATTTTAGTCATTCTGTCTGTTAATGGACAATTTTTAGTCCAGGATGAGGTAACAATCCATTTGGCCATCTAAAACCTCGCTTGTTAAGTGAAGCCACCAATAAATGGTCCAAGACCACTACCTAGTGTCTGAGAAATTTAAGACTTCTCAGAATTCCACTGCTACAATATCTCTTGGAAATAATTTTAAATGTCCTGAAATATTTCAAAATCAAATTTGAGAATTATGTTAAAGCATATCACTTGGACCAGGTGTGCTGGTATATACTTGCAATCCTAGTGCTTGGGAAGCTGAGGAAGGAGGATTATGAGTTAGAAGCCAGCCTTGGCTACACAGTAGGAGTGTGTGTGTGTGTGTGTGTGTGTGTGTGTGTGTGTGTGTGTGTGTGTGTGTGTGTGTGTGTGTGTATGTGTGTGTGTGTGTGTATGTGTGTGTGTGTGTGTGTGTGTGTGAGAGAGAGAGAGACAGACAGGCAGGCAGACAGACAGACAGACAGACAGAGAAATTCAGCCTCCAGCTAATTCCAAGCAGTCTTTTTTTGTTGTTGTTGTTGTTGAAATGTCATGGTGGATCCCATTAATGTATATATCTCTGTAATCCTAGCTACTCAGGAAACAGATCTGGATAATCATAGTTTCAAGCCAGCCTGGGTAAAAAGTCTCTACCTACAAAGTAGATAAACAAAAAAAAAATAATTCTAAGCAATCTCTAAATATATTTTTTTGTGTTCTGTTCTGAAATCTTTGACTTCCTGAACTTGCTGACATATTTAACATGATAGTAGGCTATTCATTCATTATAGTATGATATGCACTCGGGATGTTGTGCATGAAGCAGTGAATACTCAATAAATGTTTATTGTTCAAGTAAACTGCACTAAACTTGATTTAAGATTGTCTAGCAAAGTAAAAATGAATTTCTTTGAAGAGTTTTATATTCTAAGGCACACACAAGTACAAAACTCAATGGGTTCCACAGAAACTCAGTTCTATGCACATGGATAAAAACTGCAGATTTCAACTCTTTGTCTAGACTGCACTGTAATCTGGAAGTTTTGGTGCAGATAGTAAAATTCTAAGAGACTAATGTAGATTATCTAGAAACTTAAAAACTGGATATACTTACAAAAAATGTTGGCAAGTAGGGAACATTTCTATTACACTGACTTCAGATTATTACTTAAATCATGACAAAACTAAAACAAAAAAATTGGCCGGGCACCAGTGGCTCACATCTGTAATCCTAGCTAGTAAGGAGGCTAAGATCTGAGGATCATGGTTCAGGGTCAGCCTGGGCAGGAAAATCCATGAGACTCTTATTTCCAATGAACCACCAGAAAACCGGAAGTGGTGCAGTGGCTCAAGTGGTAGAATACTAGCCTTGAGCTGAAGAGCTGAGGGACAGCACCCAGGCCCAGAGTTCCAGCCCCATAACCGACCAAAAAAAAAATTGTTTTAAGGCCAAAAATCTTAGCTAAGTTAAAAAGAAAAAAAGAACTTCCTGACTGAGAAAGTATACTCTCCAGGTAAAGAACACAGAATCCCATTTCTGATACATAGCTAAATATTATTCTTATCTAATTCTAGAATTGTAGCATCCTATAGCACAAACATTAAATAATACAATTTTGTTTTTAGAAGGCTCCTTCTTGTGGTGTCACTGTGACCATAGTACAAATTTGAGAAATGGATTTCCATAGGATTTTTTTTGTTGATGGGCTTACATGTTCAGAGACTAGATGCTGTCTCTTAGTTTTTTTTTTGCTCAAGGCTGGTGCTTTACCACTTGAGTCAGCTCCACTTTCAGCTTTGTTCTGGTAATTAGGCATAAAAGGTTTCATAGACCTTCCTAGGTAGGCTGGCTTCAAACAGTAATTCTCAGATCTCAGCCTCTTTAGTAGCTAGGGTTACAGATGTGATCCAATGGTGCCCAGCCTCCATAGATAGGATTATTAGAGGAAAAAAATGATATAAAGGCTCTTACCTACTTTTCCAAACCATTAAGACAGTAAGAATAAAGGATAAGTAATTTTAAAAAGGGAACTATATGACTCCAGTTTATCAAAGATGAAATTTCTATAACTTTAAGAAGTCTAGTTTTATGAGAGAGAAAGATGGAACAGCTTACACTAAGCAAAAGGAAAGAAATGTACATATCACCCGATTTGGAAGAAATAGTTGCACTGTCAAAGTTTGTAGAGTTCATAAGCTTTATAGACCATGATAATGACAATTCACCATGTGAAGGTTAAAATGTGTTTGTGACTTTAGCTAAGTATCACTATCCCACAACAATCAATCAAGAAATTTAAAAGAAAAAAAAAAAGAAGTCTTGATAACTGTATGACTTTTTCTTTTAGATTGTTTTTCAGATTCTCATCCAATAAAGAAATAAAAGTGCTAGAATATTTGAACAAATTTGTATTTGTACTTAATTGAAAAAAAATAGTGAGAATATTAGTGATGAATTTCCATTTGTAGAATGTGTGTGGTTAAAAGAATACAATTAAGGTTTTTTCCCTGTTTAGCCTTAAACATAACAATTAGAAAATGTGAAGCATATCCTACAACTGTTTTGTGTGTGCTGGTCCTGTGGCTTGAATTCAGGATCTGGGCTCCACTTCTGACTTTTTAGTGATTAAAGTCTCTCAGACTTTCCTGACAATACTAGCTTTGAACTCAGCCTCCTGAGTAACTAGGATTACAGGTGAGCCACTGGCACACAGCCACATTCTTCTGTTTTAAAAGTATAAGTTTAATTTAGAAACAAAGAGCTGTATTTGCTCTCAACACATGAAGTTTCCATTTGACTAAGCTCTTCTGAGTCTTCATTCTCCGACAGCAGATAAAGAGGAGACATGGCAGCTTCTTTGCTTCCTTTCCTATGGTGTACTTTCCCATTAGGATGAAAATAAGATTCAATAATACTTGACTTTGTGAAATTGTGTAAAATTATAAACACATGGTCATAGCAATTTTAAATTGCTTCAAAATGGAATTATGAATTCATCTTTCTTTTTTTCCTTTTTGGCTTTTGGAGAGTTTCAGGTTAGCCTAAGCCTCCTGACTCAGACTTCTTGACTTATAAATAATATCTGTATCTGTAAACTAAAGTTATCTTTTAGTTGTAAATTGGGGCTGGAATTCGAATATGTCTAAAATGTTAAGCAACTTCTAGAACGATGAAGTTATTAAACTTCAAGGAGCCAGCTGTAGGTTACCTTTTATAATTCTGTTTTCACAACCTGATTTCATTGAGCTTTGCTTGATTTTTTTTTTAAGGCAGAACTCTACTTGTTTACAAAGTAACACAGAGGTAATATAATCTGTTTTTGCGATACAGTGGCAATGGTAACTTTATTTTTTCCCCATATTTTAAAAAAGAAAGTCAACAAGTTTAAGTGCATTACAATTGTATTTCTTAGAAATAACTTTATTATATATCACTGGCAATAACATTCATCATTAAGAGGTTGACACAGATACTTAGATTTGTCTTTGGATTTAAGTATTAAAGTCCTTGGAAATGGAGGTTTGCTCAAGTGGTAAAGCATCAGCTGTGAGTAAGGAAGAGCCTAAGTTCAAGCTTTAGGATTAGCACACATACAAAAATAAAATAAACAATTAAATTAATATTGAAGTCTTCAGTTCAGCATCACTTCAAGTTCACCAATCAATTATAATTCTACTCAATCTTAACAGCACAACTATTTTATGACTGAAAAAGAAGTTTATTAGCAGAGGATCACAATAGCTCAATAGCTATGTGCATATGACCATATAAAATGATGCCTATCAAAATAAACTCTAAGAAATGGAAACAAGAATTTCTTTTTTAGCGTACTGTTTACAACTATTTCTTTTTTCTTTCTTTTTTCCTTTGGTTTATTCCCTGTTGTCACTTGTGCTTTTATTTCTGTGCCCTTTGTCATATATGTAAGTTTATCTGATCTGGGGAAGGGAAGGGAAATCTCAGATATGGTAGGACAAAGGGTGAAACGAAGGCAACAGTGATACTCACTAGACACTATGTTGGGGGGAGGGGAGTTACGGTAGGGGAAAGTGGGAAAACCTGGAGGGGTAACACTGTTCAAAAAGAAATGTACTCATTACCTTAGTTATGTAACTGTAACCCCTGAGTATATTACCTTTACAATAAGATTAAAAAGAACAGGGAAGCTTTTGTGAAGCCATAGTAAAAATACCCAACACATAACTCATTTCTAGTAGTCCGCAAGAGAAAATGAGAACTGGTCTCACTTGTGTCGAGTTCAGCTTGATTCTCAGGAGCGGGCACGTAGCTGTACTGGGCAGATTTCTGAGGGGTTACTTCTTTTTCCATCTTACATGACAATGTTAACTGGTGTTAAGAATGCACATTGCAAGATACATTATTATTGTTTTGTTTTGAAACTGTGTGGTTAAGTAGCAAATCTGAACAGGGTTTATCCTTTCAATCTAATGGTTTAATGGAACCCACTCTTGCCCCATAAGAAAATACAGCATATTTTGGAAGAAAATACTTAATGATGAAGACATCAGCTCAGTGAAAATGAGAAACAGCTTTCTTTTTGGAGATCATGTATAGCTGATTGGAAACCTAGAACACATTTAAGACTAAGGCATGGGGAATTTGGTGGTTGTTGGTTTAGTTGTTGTGGTATTACTATTTCCACTCACCAGCTCGAAGGGGTCGTGGAACTCCCCCAACAAAGATAGTTTTTCTGGGGTCCAAAGGCTGAGAACCATCCATTACAAAGTCACTGTCACTTAGGTTCCATGGTCGAATTTGCACCTGCAAAAAAGTCGTTTACTTGGTCCTTACTTCATTTCCATCAACTCCCAAATGAGAATAAGATAACTAAAGACAAACCCACTGATTTGCACATTTTACAACATGCCAGACCCAAACAAAATTCAGGTAATTAGTTAAAGAAATCTGCTCTGAGGGAAGCTACTCAACATGTAGACATATACCATGAAGCCTTTGGAAAATACCTGTTATTTGTTTTTTAAAGGCAGTTTTTGAGAAACAGATTCTGGGTTTGGAATCAAACTCCATTTTAAACCATCACAGACCATTTTAAAACTGTCACAGTAAACCATTTGTTTTTTTTAAGAGCCCACATAAAGGAGGAGACCAGGAACATTAGGGGTAGTGTCTAAGAATTTTCTGCATGTCCAGTTTTAATTCTTATCACTTCACCAATTTAAAATACCTAATCTTTCAGCAATATGACAAAGAGATTAATGATAATCAAGTTAGTAAAGAGTTACCAGCTATCAAACACAGATGCACATACAGCATCATCTATAATTTTCCTGAATAAGATCATGAATAAAGTCAAGCCTAGAAACTTCAATAAAAGTTTAAAGGATAGAAAAAGAAAACATTTATGGGATATATCTTTCTACTTGGTAATTTCTCCTCTAAGAGCTAGAGCTTAACTGGGATTCTGGCTTCCTGTCCACAGTCTGTACTTTTTTAAAATCTGTAAATGCCAGTACTGGGGCTTGACCTCCAGACCTGGATGTTAATTAACCCAGAGCTTTTTCTGCTCAAGGCTAATGCTCTATCACTGGAGCCACACCTCCATTTCCAGATTTCTGGTAGTTAATTAGGGATAAGAGTCTCACAGACTTCCTGTCTGGACTGGCTTTGAACCAAGATCCTCAGATCTCAGCCTCCTGAGTAGCCAGGATTAAAGATATAAAGCACTGGTGTCCAGCTTACACTATTTTTATCATACATTAAAAATAAGATATTTCATCAGGTTGACTCAAAACATATTCCTTTGAATTATAACTCAATTATAAAGAGGAGAGAGAAACAAAACATCTCTTCTATCTTAAAAAGCAAGTTTGACACTGTCTGAAAACAAACCAGTTAGGTATTGGGGTGTTCATGTATTCTGGGGTCCAGGTGGACACAGAGGGGAACTGATGTTTGTCCTTAAGGACATGCTTCTCTTCTTCTCCCAGAACGACAGGTTAAAAACTGACTTTTAATTCCCTTAGCATAGGTAGAACTCATTTCTCCCACCACTCAAGCCTCAATAGTTAACATGAGAGTACACATGAGCTATTTTCTTACATGGTTTGGCTTATCACAGCCGGGAATACTTCCACTTGAAGGCAGGACCTCTGCCAATGACCTTTTCAAAACGCTTTGAGTCTAATCTAAAAGTGGCTCATTAAAAACAGCCTGGTCATCCCTTAAAATTGCTACTAAATTTACTCCCTCCTAATTTTTGGCCTTTTACAAACTTCACCAGTCATCCAGAAGCCATAAAGCCTTAATTTCTTCCTTCGACTCTAAAAATTTGGACCCATTTTCATGTGTTAACATTCAAACATTTGCTCTACCTTTCTTGCTCCAAAAGGAAAATCTAATTATTTTATATAAAATTTGCTTTGTTTGGCCAAATTGTTCCCTTGATGTTTACCACAAAGGCAGACTGACTAGTACCATAAAGCACACTTTGAAATGCCTTCAGAAGGGTTCATTACTAGTTTTTAATTAAAAACATAGCAATTTCCTGATAATGTAAGACCAAGATTCTAATGCCACCAATTAAAGAAAAAGGATGTTATCTTTTTCTCCACAGAACTCTCCCTTCTTCTAGTCTTAGGAATAATAATATAATTAAGGCAGTTTCAGGATCATTAGGTGGTTATAATCAATGCTAATTGACTTTTAGTCATAGGTCAGGGTTTTTTCAACCACAAGATGAGGTCTTGAGATGTTGTTGCTCAAGTTGGTTTTGAACTCCCGGACTCAAACAATCCAACCACCTCCAAATCCAAAATAGCTAGGACTACAGGCAAATACCATTGTAATGGGTAAACAATAAAGAAAGTAATAGAGTGTTATTCCAATTAACTGTAATATAAGCACATCTGAAACATCATGGTAAAACCCCTTGGGACAATTAATACACACTTAAAAAAAAAAGGAAGTAAAAAAAGAAGTAAAACAAGGTCTGTTGTAGGGGGTGGGTGTCAGTGGGAGAGGTATAGGTGAAGAGAAGGTAAATGAGGATGGATTTAGTGGAAGAAGTGGGGGGAGGAGTAAGAGAGAGGAACAGAGGGGTTGAGTTTGATTGGGATGCATTGTATGCAGGTGTGGAAATAGCACAATGAAACTTCCGCTTGCACAATATAAACTATTTTTTTTTAATCCTGGTATTATCTAGAGTAATATAGTTTTCATTTAATTTAAAAGTATATAAAATATGGTCTTTTGTGATAGTTATAAGTTGCAGCTGCTCAAAAGAACTAGAGGGGGGAAAAAAACCTCTGCTAACAACTTTAGTCTTTCCTGCTAAGAGATTTCATTGCCTTTTCTCTCTCTACTACTTCATGCCATCTCCACCTCACATTACACATAGCCCATTCCTTTAACATATTCCTGGCTTTACAGAGTGGGTAAAAATCCAGGAAGAAGGCTCAGAACACAGTCTTGATCGACCCTATTCATAAACCTACACTTCCTAGTTCCGACCAGAAAACAGCTGCTCAGAGCTGGGAGCTGGGAGCTGGCACCTCTGCAAAACTAAAGAAATGTCAATACAGTTCCACATGTGAACACTGCACATACACAGCAAAAGTAACACTGTAGTACTGTTTGTACTAAGAATGAACTACTTGCACTACTATTTCTCTCTGAAACAGAAATTCTCTTTCTATAGGCACATTTCTCCATTTTCTTAGATGTATTTATTCTCAGTTCTCAGGGTCTAATCTAGATGGGGTTTTTTTTTTTTTTTGGGTCCGGTCGTAGGGCCTGAACTCTGGGCCTGGGCGCTATCCCTCAGCTCTTCAGCTCAAGGCTAGCACTCTACCTCTTGAGCCACCTTCCCAGCCCGGGGTTGTTTTTTTTTCTAGACTAAATTCTTAGAATATATTTTTGGGGATTCATTTCTACATAAAATATATTCATGATCATATTTCATAAGTTGACTCAAATATTTGGTGGGAAGGGATAAAGTATAATTGAGAAGAACTGGTTTTATCAATTGCTTTTTTTTGAGAAAGAGTCTTGCAATGTAGCTCAAACTGGCTTCAAACTTGATACTGAAGCTCAGGAGACTTGAATTTGAGATCTTCTACTTGACTACTGAGGCTGTAGGAATGTGCCACCATGCCCAGAAAGAACTGCTTTTTAATTATCTTTGTTTAGTAGTTTTGAGAATTACAACTTTCTAATTTCTTTTTTTTTTTTTTTTTTTTTGTTGGTCGTGGGGCTTGAACTCTGGGCCTGGGCGCTGTCCCTCAGCTCTTCAGCTCAAGGCAAGTGCTCTACCACTTGAGCCACAGCGCCACTTCTGGTTTTCTGGTGGTTTATTGGAGATAGGAGTCTCACGGTCTCTCCTGCCCGGGCTGGCTTTGAACCGGGATCCTCAGATCTCAGCCTCCTGAGTAGCTAGGATTACAGGCGTGAGCCACCATCGCTGGCCAACTTTCTAATTTCTAATTAGAAATTAGAACTCTGTCCTAATTCAGTATGAATTTTCCATGACATCACAAGTTTTCCATGTATTGAGATAACTGTGTGAAACAACTCTTTACATTGTCAAAGTTAGTAGTAGGGCTAGTAATGTGGCTTAGTGGTAGAGTGCTCACCTAGCATGCATGAAGCACTGGGTTGGATTCCTCAGTACCACATAAACAGAAAAAGCTGGAAGTGGTGCTGTAGCTCCTGTGGTAGAGTGCTAGCTTTGAGCAAAAGAAGCCCTAGGACAGTGCCGAGGTCCTGAGTTTAAGCCCCATGACTACTCCCCTCCCCTACCCCCCCCCTCGCCCCCCAAAAAGAAGTTAGTAGTAAAAGCCTCAGGATTTTGAGAACAAGTATAGGGAGGGAGGTTATCATGTAGACTAGTGGGAATTCCTTAAAAAATAAGACCTGAATCCAGCACTCCATGGAGTAATTTAACTATGCCCTTGGGCCATGTCATGTCCTTATAGCAGGGTCATGTGAAGTCAAAGGACTGTAGGACTGGACAGGTAGCATAAATTTGTTAGGTGACCAGGACAACTGGTAGTAAACAGAGACTGATACACTGGAGGATGACACTTCTACAGGAAGCAAGTATGTCTCAGTCCCAGCAAGTAGCTCCCATTTGGGAATATGATGTCACAGGCTTTGCCTTTTTTACATCATTCTTAAGAGTAGCTAGAAAGTCAGGATCTTTATAAGTGAAACTTCAAGATCCTAAAATGTTGGAAATTAATTTGAATGTTAAAATCACTGTAAAGGCTAAACAAAATACCAGACCTATCATGTGGACCTGAGTCTATACCCTTTGGCTTACAATTTTCCACAGCATTTATCAGGGAAAAGAATGCACAAAAAAGTTTTTCCTTAGTTTCTTTTAAAGTTTGTATTCCTACAGAAGGTTTCCTGAGTGTAGTGAAACCTGCTTTAGGCTGATTATGTATCTTCTAAAGTCTTACCTTCTGAATTAGTGATTGTTCAGCATAACTGCATATTTCCAAAAAGAATATGGACAAAAATCAAACACAAACCTTAGTGGTATTAATATACTAATTTATATCACACAGTAACATTAATACAGGCCTTTATGAAATCTAAAAGAATCTAACACTAATAAAGCCAATGGTTATTAAGGAAAACACTAAGTTTGCTTTTGAAAGTTTCCCAAAGTGTGTGCTGTGGAATGCAGGTCAATGGCTGGTGGTGGGGTGGGGATGCTAGTTAAAAACTATAGATTCCTTTCTCCTTGGAGTCTTATGACCTTCACTATTTAGTTTAAAATCAATAATCAATGTCGT